TTTTTTTTTTTTTTTTCAGTACTGGGAATAGAACTCACGACCTCGCGCTTACCAGGCAGGCGCTGCGCCGCTGAGCTAAATCCCCAGCCCCCAAATGGGCTGTTTCCTTGGCTTTGTCATAGTATTCTGCAAGATTTCAAAAATATTTTTATTTTACATTCAAAAACAAAAATCCTAGGATATCACATTTATAGATTAATAAAAGAATTAATCTATGCCAGCTTTACCTTGCATCCTGACTGATAAATGGAGTGAGGAACTACATGGGGAAAAATTGAGATAGACTCCTATATTCCAGTTCTGCTAAAATCAAGCCCAGCTGACAAAAAATGTAGAGTTTCATAGGACACCATATTCCTTGGAAAATGCTCTGATGCTAGTACAGGAAAAGAAAGGGTCTGTTGAGGTAAGGTCTCTTTCTCCCCAAGCCACCTTTACTACCCCCATATTCAGCACTGAAGTTTTTATTTTAGCCTAAAGCAATCACCAATTAAGATTTTGCACCTACCTCACAGAAAGTGAAGTATACACATTCATGAAAAAAACCAACATCCATTGAGATAAACAGAAAAGAAGAGAACCAGTAAGTAACTCCAGTCCTGCCACTGTGAGATATGCATCCATAAGACCAAGATTCCCTGGGAAATTTGAACAGAGTCTTATGTCTTTTCACAGAGACCTGAAAAGTTCCCCCAAAGTGTGTCCATGATCAGCATTGACAGCAGCATAGACATGAGACCCAGATTTCCATATGTGGCCCTACAGAACTTGGCCATGCTATGAATACTGAGGGAAGAGAGGCCACAGTTAGCAACAAAAACATGGGCACAGCCATCAAAGTACAGGATACCCAGTGTATTTTTGTTTATTCACATTTTAATAAGCACCCTATGTTGTATCTGGCAACCTATGAATGACTTCAATGGAATAATGACATTGCAACACATAAAAACAAGTGTCCTGGTTGATTGTGTCCAGATTCCAGCCTGGCAGTGACACTATGACTTTGCTGACTTATAACCAAGGAGCTGTCTACTCCTGGACTATGACAGGGAAATGAGAAAATTTTATTGGTGTTGAGACACTCTGCTCCCATTGTCTGGGACAAGAAATTACTGACAGCAGAGGCTGCTGTGTCCAAGGGGTGAAGTTAGGTTGGCAGACTCTTCCTGCTTGCTCCTACAAGAGCAAGGAAAACACTGGAAACTGAAGCTCTGCCTAGAAATCTAGAAGTTACACGTCTCTCCAGGGTGCATGCAGTGTGTGCAATGCAGGATCCTTGAGGTTATGTGCGTGAGCACTGAACATAGACGAGCAATGTTGAAAAGCACATGAGTGACAGAACAGAAGGTGCTGCTTTCCACAATCTGGCAGAGACAGCAAAGAGAGGATCCCAACTATTCATTCTTCACCTGTCACCTCCTCTCACTCACTGAAGCACGGTCCTAAAGGAAAACAAAATTATATTTTGTCCTCCCAAATAATTACTGTTTTGATAAGCCAAGTTGGGGAGATCTCAGCCAATAAAAAAGAGGCAGGAAGAGGCAGTGACAGGCATTCCCATGGTAAGAACAAGGGACAGCTGTCTGAAGATGTGTCTAGGCCACTGCAGAGAAGCCCTCATTTTGCCCCCGACAAATTCCAGCGGAGTCTAAGCCACCTGAGTTATCCAATGGCCTAAGACCAGGACGTAATCTTGCTAAAATACCTGCCCGATTCCATGATTACTTTTGAAATATTGGGGCTGGGGATGTAGCTCAGTGGCACAGCTCCTGCCTGGCAAGCATGAGACCCTGAGTTCAACTCCAAGTACAAAAAAAAGCATATAGCTCAGCCCCTGCATGCTTCCCAGTATCATCATAGCCCCCCAAAGGTGATGGCAACAGCTCTGTATGTTTCCTCATCTTGATTTCTTCTGTCCTTTTTTTCATCATTGTGCTCACACCACTGTTTTCCCCTGAAATCTATTTAATTTCTTTTAACTTCAAGACTTTTACTTTCCCTCCTCTGGGTCTGTAACAAGACAGGTGCTAAAACACAGTTATTCGTGGACCTAACCAGGAGTTGAGAACAAGCCCCTACCTGCTCCCAGCAATCAGAGCTGAGGGGCAGCCTCCAGCAGGGTCTCTGTCTGCCTCTCCAGGGGGATGTGGGCAGCTGCGCCTGGGAGCACCCACCTCAGGGCCAGGTTTGTGGCTACATTTCAATCAGCAGACACAGAGGGAAGTAGCCAGAGGTGCTGGACCAGACAGGCTGGGGACAAACCCATCTGCCAGAGCATCTCGTCCTTCTTGCTTGTGAACTCATTGCAAAAGAAATTAAAATTCCTTAAGCATCCTGTCTTTCTTGCTTGTGAGCCCATTGCAAAAGGAATTAAAATTGCTTACGAAGATAAATAGAGTTGGCAACGTAAGACAAAGGTGAATAAGAAGTGGGAAAATGAAGGCGGCAGATCTTCTAGATTGGGGATGGGAAAACCTGGCAGCCACTGCGTGCTGTCTGCCTTCGCCGTGCCACACCCTCACTCTGCTCTTCTTCACCTCTCCCACGGATCCTGCCTCTCTCACCAAGACCAGCGAAGTCAATGGCAAATTCTGTCCTTGCTCACCGGAGCCACGAGGCAAATTTCACAGAGGTCAGCACTGCCACCTCTAACAAAAACTCTCCCCTTGTTTTTCCGTTCAAGTGGGTGATCCTTTCTGTATCCTCCGGACCTCCTGGTTTTGTAAAGCTGAGGCACACCAGTGATCCATTTTCTTAAAAAAATTATTTCCTTTTCATCTGTTCTGAATGTCGAGGGATTCATTGTACTTTGCAACTTGAAATTCTGTTCTACCAGTATCCCAAAATGCTTACCTGACTGAAGTCTTCCCGAGAGCTGCATAGACTCCTTGGTCCCCAGCCCACTGAGCTTTTGTTGGTTTAGGGGTTTTTGCTTGTTTTTGCTTTACTTTTTGAGACAGGGTCTCACTCTGTCATTCAGGCTGGTCTTAAGCTCAGTATGTACCCCAAGCAGGCCTTGAACTTACACCAATACTGCCTCAGCCTCCTGAGTGCTGTGATTACAGGCATGCACCACCACAACCAATCCCACTGGGCTTTTGCACTCAGATATCTAACATACATCTCAAACTCAGAGCTGTCCAAAGCATAGTTCCAAAAGTCCCCAAATAGATGTACTCTGCCATAGTCTTCCACACTTAATGACAGTTTCGGCTTCCTGATTACCCCCAAGATTTTAGACACCCTTGGTTTCCCTTTCTGTCGCTTCCCACACCAAACACAACAGAAAATTTAGTTGGTTCTCCTGAAATGTGCTCAGGATAAAGTCCCTTCTCACAACCTCTATGGAACCAATCTGGTCCAGGCTGAATTCACTCGATAATGGACTCCCAGCTGCACCCTGTTTGTGCCTCTGCTCTGCTCTAAGTATTTGTAATATAGGAGTGTTTGTGGCATGAGCCTGTGCTGTCCTTTTACCATAAATCAGGCCCACACCCTCCTAAGAGACATGTACCCATAACAGGTTAGTCCCATCAATTCCCCAACCTCTTCTCTTCAGACTCTGCAGAAAGACACACTGACTGTCCTGCTTTCCCTTGACACACAAGGCTCACCTCCACCTTCGAGTCTCCGCACTTCGTGCTTCTCCCACTTGAAATGCTCTTTGCTTTTGTTTTCCCTAAGGTTATGATCAAACATCACTTTGTCCGTGAAAGCTGGTTGTATCCCCTATTTTAAATTGTCTCAATAACATCTCCACTTTTCCTTATTTATTTTCCTTGTACTACATACTTTTTAATACACTGCATAATTTACTGACTTAGTGTGTTTACTGACTTATTGCACCGCTCCTTTGCTAGAACAAATAAATGATCCACAAATCCTGCTCCCTGAAGGAAGAATTTTTTCTATTATTCTTCATTACTTAATCTTTGCCCTTCATACTGTGCTTAGCATATAGTACTGTTTCAGTATATAAATTTTGGGAGAGGAAAGCATAGATAGATACTTAAAGTGGGTGGCAGGCATTAGGCTTTAGCCGCTGGACCACAAAGGGAAAATCACAGAGAAGAAAAGAAATCAATTCAGCAGTAAACACACATATTCCAACATATATTCTGCCTCTATAACTACAATATGAGATACTAACATAAAATGAAATTAGTTCCACAGAATTCTTAGAATTAGGCTAGTTTTAGCTTTGGCTCAAACAGCTACGTCTCACAACAAACAGGGTAGGAAGACACTTGTGACTGCAGGAGTCAAGAATGATAGGCCATGAGCCCAGGGGGAGGAGCAGAGGGCTAAAGGAACAGCTGACAAACTCAAGACAAGCAGGTCTATTATCCTTATACCAAGCAACAGGCACTGTATTAGGTTCTTTTACTAACATCTCACAAATCCTTGCCACTGTGTATTTGATACTGCTCCTTACCTACAAATAAACTAAAGTTTTAAAAAGTTACACTCACAGTACTACAACTACACAACGTGATCAGGATTCAGTCTAGATCTCCGTGAATCAAAAATTCTTGCTCTTTCTGTATTATCAAACTCAAAAATAAATGACACACATAGCTTTGAGTGTTTCAGCTCAGTGACTATTTACTCATTCATCTTGCAGGAGATCAAGTGTCTTAGAACTGAAACGACAGGGATAAGAATGGAGCAGATAAATCTGAGGCTTTGTTTCTTACTAATGTCGACATTTCTGCAATAAAGAATAGGTGAGCCTACAATTACCCTAAGTGGGAGGCTGAGGCCGTAGGATTGCCAGTAAGACCACCCTGAGCAACTTAGCAAGACCCTGTCTCAAAATTAAAAGGGAAGAGGATAAAGTTCAGTGTCATAGGACCCTTTGGTTTGAGCTCCATTAGCACAAAAGAAAGAAAAGGTGAAATTAGACATCATCTTACACTCAGTTTTGCACATATAAACACACACACACACACACACACAACACCAGTAGGAAAACATGGTACAGGGTTAAAACTTACCCCAGCTGTATCTGCCTTCAATTCACCCATGCTCTGAGTGCTGGAGATGTGCCACTAAGCACCTGAGACTCCTGGAAGGAGCTGCTTACTGCTCGAGCAGCCTGCTTACCCAGAATCTGCCTCGGTGGAAGAACTGCTCTTCTCCCACCCACTCACACGTTTCTCTCTGGGAAGCCAACGCCTTCCACCTCCACCCAACCTTCAAAAACCTTGCCCATGGAATAAACTCTGGAAGTAATGCTTGCTGACGTACCAGTCTGATCGGGTTCCCACTGTTCAAGCTCCCAACTTAAAGAGGAAATGTAGATAGGAAGCAGAGAGAGGAGGTCAAGCTTATCTCACAGACTTTAGAACCCTGGTAGGAGAATCGTATTGCTCTGGACCTCACAAATCGTGTAGCTCCTCCTGCCTCTGTGCTTCTCAGTCCTTCCTGCAACAAAAGTGAGAAAATAGAGTCAAGGTCCAGTTGATTAAACTGTTCTTGATTCACCATGTGAAGGTGGACACGGATGAAACGGAGGCCCATTCCCTTAACTGATTTGATGTTCAGTATTCTTTAATAGAATTTTTTTAAAGTCTCTTTCCCCTCTAGGACAACTTACATACTAATTTCGGACCTGCAGTTAAGAGTGATTCATGTTAATACTTGTTCATTGAAAAGAATTCATTTTCCAACTATTCTTGATTGACTTCTCTTTTTTATTTGGTAATCAAATGGTACACCCTCACATTCCTACTAACTTCACTACTAACTTCACTCACCATGGTAGGTCTTATTGAGACCAAGAAATAGTCTCACTGGCAGGCAGGTCAAAAAGGTGAAGCCAGCAGCAATTCTATGAGAATGCATTCTCGTGTTTTCTTAATCTTTGTACGTGCAGCTCAGCTGAGGTGTGCAACCTGAAACATTTATCTGTTGTCCTTATACTGTTAGGGTGCTCCGTGGATCTACCCAGGCTCTAGTACCACCACCTTGTCCACCACCACTTCAGTAAAAATCCACTTATCTAATAAAGTAAACAATTTCTCTGACAAATTTTCCAAATGTGGTTCATTGCTGGGGCCATGAATTATAAAGTGAGTCTAGGAGATGTCTAAAGCTTGTCCTTGTTCTGCCCTTAAGCCAGATTGGAACGGGGAAACTCCCGACTCTTCTTGGTCACAGCTGGCAGCCCTAGGGGTAGTGACTGCTGTGATGCTCACCGGACAAAATAAGACCTGCTGAAGAGAATAAGGCACCTGGGGAAACCACAGTTTCCTCATTGTCACCCTGTCTGTCACCGCTGTTCTTGCAAGAACGCTTTGTTTTCCTTCCTAGCCCGCTGCAGTCGCCATTACTGTCCCGGAAACACCCAGCCCTTCTTCACTCATTCTCCTTGCCTCAGATGTAAAGAATAAATACCCAGGTTCTGGGTGCTTTGTGGGCTTTGTTTCCTCAGAAGAGCTGGTCATCCCAGACCCCTGCCTGCCCCTGAATTTTGCCTCTTTCTCTCCTGCCGCCCCATGTGCCATTACACTTCGCAGTAGATTGGGGACCCACTATAGGAGGCTCCGATAACTGGCATCGTGGAAACGGTCTCAAATTGTTAATAATGATGGGTGCGTTAGAGGTGCAAGCAATCTCAAAGTGGAGATTACCAGAGAAGCTCGCTTAAAGCACGAAATTCTCTGAAAGCATAGCACAGAACTGCTTTCTCCGATCACCAGCGTCGCGGCCTGTTTACAAAAGTTGCTCCGCGCATGTAAGCTAGCCTGCTCCAGACCTCCTCGCCTGAACTGAGAAGACCACAAGAGCCACTTATTTTTATTCTTGTCTTTCATTTGCCATGATCTCAGAATGACCTCAGCTAGTTGCTTCTCAAGCGTATCCGCTGTAAAAAAGAATATCAGACTGTTTGCTCCGATATTTCTTGAAACACTGAAGGATATAATACACTACTTTGGAACAGTGGAAGACAGGACATTTCTAGCAGTCATTTAGTAACTAAAATATTGAAAGCCAAGTCAGGCTATGCCAAACTGAAGGAAGGATAGCACCCTTTAGTTCTTCCTAAAAATTCATTGCTCAGGTTTCTATATTAATGCATGTTTATAGCGCATATAGTGTACAATCATCTTGGGGAGTGCGTACACAAACATAATACAACTTGTTTATCTTTTGATCCGCTTCCTTCACTTCTCCCTCCCTCCTCCTCTAATTCCCTTTCCCATTTTCATTCATATTGCTATCATTAATCTTAGCTCATGCCTGTGGGTATAGTTTTCATATTCACTGAGGTTGTCAGGCTGTTGTACTTAACAAATCTGTATTCTACTTATTTCCCCTTCTCTTCCTCTCACCCCTCATCCTTGAGTTCTTGGTCCCATTCCCATTTCAAAAGATCCATCCCCGGTCTCCTTCTTTCCATTCTTTATTATTCTCTTTATTTGTCCTTTGCCTCACTCACTGAGAATACCATATCGTTTTTCAGCTGATGTGTCTGGTTAATTTCACTTAAAATTATATTTTCCAAGTGCATCCATTTTCCTACAAATGTCAAATATGTCCTTCTTTATATCAGCGTAGCATTCCATTGTGTATAGATACCACACTTTCTTTATCCAACTGTTTGTTGATAGGTGTATAGGCTGCTTTAAGGATTTAGCTATTATGAACTGGGCTGTTATCAACATTGGTATGTATTTATCACTGTAGTATGATGTCTTAAGCTCTTTGGGAAAGATATCTAGAAGAGAAACAACTGGGTCATATGGAATTTCTAATTTTAGTTCTTTGAGAAATCTCCATGCTGACTTCCAAATTATTGTACTAGTTTATATTCTTACCAACAATATATGAGGGTTCGTTTTTTACCACAGCCTTGCCAGCATTTGTTATTTTTTTATTTGCTAATGATGGCCATTCTCTCTGGTATTAGATGGAATCTTGGTGTTCTTTTACTTTGCATTTCTCTAATTACCAGAGATGCTGAACATTTTTCCCAAGTTCATTATTAATGACATCCCATCCCCAAACCTGGAACTACACCCCATGATTCAGCATCGTCAGTGATTTATAAGGCATGGGAAAGAAAATTCAATGTTTAAGTAGTCTAATTGGAAGAGTCAGTGTTATTCATCATAAAATGTAGGGCAGAGCTATTTTACAGTAAGAATAGATGTCTCTCTCAATACTTACTTTGCCAAAGTATCATTTCATGCCCGGATCAGTAAACCTCAAAATCAAAATATGCTTTCAGTTGTACTTTTTCCATTCCTAACATAGCTATATCTTTCAGAACTTGATGAAAAAGTATTGCACTCTCTTAATCTAGGAAAACTGAATAAAGATCCATACGGTGGTACACAAATTCTATTTCCAAACCAAGTATAATATTCAGAGAAACAAAGAGAAGAAATAATCCATTTATCAGAGCTCCTCAGAATGTTGTGTCAATAAGGAACAGGACAGAAAGTTGTTAGCAGGGTAGCACTCACAGGCTTGTGGGGGAAACGGTTTGAAAATACAAGGAGACAAAAGTGGAAACATGTAAACATGAATGAGGTAAAATAAAATGCTCTTGACTTTGTCTCCCATGACTTCACATTCACATCCTAAGTCTCTTCTTGTAGAAAACACAATGCCTATCTGAGAACCAGTCATAACACAGACATTTAGCAGAGCACAAAGCAGTTTTATCTACACACTCCACACTCTCTTATTTATTATGACCACAAAACATAAATAAATAAAAAGCAAATGAGAGTCCAAAGGGAAACCTAGCAACACTCACTACTAAAAACATCAGATTGGCTTTACCAAGTTTCCATACATTCCTCTCCAGAAAGCATAACCTTTCCTTGGTAAGTCTTCCTTATTTGCCTGATGGTGCTAAATGTACCCAGAAGTACAGAAGGCAATTCTCAGTTCATCAGGTAATTCAGAACATTCTCACAGGCACATATTTTTATCTCCTACCTAGCAATACCTTTCTCACTGGACAACATAGAAAAATGAAAACGTCCAATTTGTACTGACTTCAGAGAAAATAGTGATAAACATACACCACAGACTATCTCCTTGTTCTTGTTGTCATTATATGCTATAAGTGAATCTTTCTGGTCATGAAGGCTGCCATGGTGACCATAAGGATACTGACCAGTATCCACTCTAAATCTCCATTCTAAGTACCAAATTCACACTGGTCAACATTGGGAATGGGAGCACAGTAGTCTAACATCAATGATGGAGACATTCCTACCTAGTTTCCCAAGTGATTTCCAATCTCTTCCTTTAAAGTACAACCTGGATTCCAATTGCCCCAAGGATTCATCCTTTAATCTCAACCCCATCTCTGAAACAATAGAATTTAAATTAAATTATTCAAGTGATATCTTGTCATTTTAAGTGAAAGCTTTCCTACTAATTGAAAAATATTTTTAAAAACTGATTGTTTTCCAACAGCCAAGTGATTAGTAAATTGAAAAATACTCCATATGTCCACAGGCAGAGTGGGAAAGAGGATCAAGGAACTCAGCACCAGCCAATCTGATGAAAACATGTTTGTTCTGTGTGACCATTAATAATTGTACGGCAACTTGAATGGATTAAGAAATTCCTAAAAGTCAGCCATGATGGTGCACACCTACAATCCCAGCACAGAAGAGGTTGAGTCAGGATGATTGCCATGAGTTTGAGGTTAACCTACGCTATACAGCGAGTTCCAGGCCATCCTGGACTCCATAGCAAGACCCTGTCTCAAAAACAAAAGTGCTTAGCAAATTGGTAATGCACAGTTCTGAGTGCATCTGGGGATGACTGACAGACACCCGACCAAACTGAGTGAAAAAGACCCACTGTGAGTGAGAGCGACACCAATCAGTAGGCTTATAGCCTTGGTGAAATACAAAATGGAAAGAGGAAGAAAGTATGCCTATTTTGGAAAGCTTGGATCCTGTACAAACAGATCCTTTGTCAGACTGCCATAAGCCTTAGTGACTGCCTGGGATCCTGATTCCCCAGAACAAGCCGGTAGGAAAAAGTCATCATTTTCTGGCTAGAATACTAGGCATTGTAATTCTTGTCTGTTGAATGATTCATTGTTTTTATGGGCTAATGTCTCATATGTCCTTGCCCTCTTTTTCAGACTACTGAAA